CTAGGCACCTTATCCACTTATACATGTATGAATATACCCCCCCCCCCCCCTTCCTTGTAATCACACGCATTTTAACGCATAAACCATTTCCTATTTCTACCGCTAAATCACGCAGATATCGTTTCCGCGTAATCACGTATTTTTTACGCACTTTCGGGAATAGATTTAAATTTAATCTTCAACTTAATGCCTATTCCCTTCTATTTTCTTCTTCCGCAAATCTCATAAAATAAAAGTCACCTTTAATACCTTGCACAAAATTAGAATGTTCAACTTTTTTTGGAAAATATTGATCACTTTTCGTATTCTTCAATTTATACAAGATGTTCGAGAGTAAAGTAGAATTTTTTTTTAGTTTGCATTAAATTTGGAAGTTTAGGTTTTCCATACCCCGTGAGGGAAGATACTACATGTATGATCATTATAATTCAAAGTTCCTTGTGCACTCCTATGCCAATAGCCATTTTTTGAAGAATAATGATGTTACTGAAAATAATAATGTTTCTCTCTAATGCGAGTTATTTACAATTATTTACCTTTGGGACAGAAAAGTTTTACACATAGAACTACAATTTTTTATCACGCTTGAATTCTATTTGAAAATAATGACTGATGAATAAATTGTTCTTAGGGAAAATTAATAAAAATTAAGACGGGTTAAAATTTAATTTTACCAGGAAATACGAAAATAGTATACATAAAATGAACTTTCGCGGAAAAAAGACGGGTTAAGATTATGAGTTTGAAACGGAAGAAAGCTTTGCAGCTAAACAGTTCTCATATTTGACCCTCGTCCAATCAAGGAAAATCACCAATTTCCTGCATAAAAAGTATTACTATATATGGAACAAGAAATAGATTTGTGTTTTATATGATTTATTTCTAGTTATAACTGCTGCGTTTTACATATAAATTATTTGCAATTTTTTGCTTATGGAGAAAAAGAGTCATAAAATAATTGTATCTGTAAATAAGCGTTTTTCAAACCGTAAATAAACATAACATCCTTTTGTTCTCTTCATTTATATATAACGATATTGCATAACTGGCCGAGGGAATTTTTTCCTTTTCCGCTTTTATTGTTTTTGTTTTTTTTTTGTTTTTTTTTTCGTTTATTTTTTATAAAAGGAATAATATCCACAGAGGGAGAGTTAATTTAACACACACACACACACACACAGAGAGAGAGAGAGAGAGAGAGAGAGAGAGAGAGAGAGAGAGAGAGAGAGAGAGAGAGAGAGATCTGAGTTGTTGTCTTCACCCAGGATCAAAATTCAATTTCAATCAGTGATCAAATTTTCTTTACAAATGAAAAACTTTTAGACAAACACTTGATACCAAAATTCTCCTCGATAATATACATTGTCTGGTCATTATCAATTTTCGGAAAGTAAAACCAAGGTTTCCTTATTCCACCTTTAAATAAAGGAACGTTGATGGTCATTAATTCAAAACAAGTCAAATGAATGACAAATTGTATGCACACATCTAATAAATTAAATTAACTAAGGATAAAAAATGTTTTAATATGAACCCGCAATATTTGTGCACATCCATGACTAGAAAGGAATACTATATATTAGTATTAACTTGCACATGTATCTTATGCGGCATATTAGGAGAATAAATTCCTCTTCATACCTGACAATACTTTTAACAAAAAAAATAAATAAAAAAATATCACAGGGAAAAAAGTCAATTAAACCTTATTGATTTTTATTCATTTTATAAATTATTGTAGGTGAACGGAATAACGGAATACAATATATAACTCAAGAATGTTAATTCTATTTGTAAATAATTTAGTTCGACATGAACTGATACAATATACACAATGCTTCTCTAAGAGGTACACGTATACTACTTCAAAGCGTCTAGTGCTTACGTATGATCCCTTTTTGTGTCCAGTTCAACATGATAATAAAAGTGTAAACACTTAAATGATGTAATACTGTTTATATACACACAAGAGAGGAAGTGTATACTGTTCTATCGTTATCCTTTTTACAAAGACATATCTATACATTTATTAAATAAATATTTGAAAAATATTCATGTACATAGATGTTTGTTTTTCATTTACTTTTTTCATGTCATTAAATTCATGACTCGAAATGTTCATGTTTTATGTTCATGAAAATTGGATTTTTATCATATACTTGATTGAAATATAAATTCTTTGTTGTTAGCTCCTTTTACGGACAAAGTTAAGGATCACTTCATTCTAAATAGGGATTTGACCTATAGGACCGGGCTTGGTTTTTCTCTCTACAAAAAGCTTGTAGATTTCCGTTCTGATTAATGACATTAGGCTGAATACATATAACAATTTGTTTTTTTTTTCTAAATCTTTATTTCAGAGTGTAGATGTAGGAGGAACCTTTTTTCTGAGATTTTTTATCTCCAAATGTAATAATTGAGAGATTCTTTACTTCTCATTGTGCATACATGTAATGGTAATGTATACTGTCTCTGAAATTCTATTCTTTACGTCTAGGCTTTATTTATCACTGGATATTATAAAACATGCCATTAATGTGTGCAAATTATATAAGCCTAAATGAAATCCAAGGAAAACAGTTACTGATATGTATATGTAGCCAAAGTCAATGTGATTAAATTCTAAGGAATATCATCGCAGCTCAATGCTGCTAAGGATACCTGTATCGAGTAACACAAAGTGAGCTATTCTTGTCCTCGGAGAAATTGTGCTTATGTTGTTCCGCCTGACTGACAACTGGACATAGGATTGTTACGATCTCATCTCACGTTAGCGTTTCTTATATCAAGAATGGGCATGCATAGGATAGATAATTGAAGAAAATACACAAGTCAAGAAAAAAAAAAATTAAAATAGTCTTTGAAAAAGCGAAAAATTAAAACTTTAAAAGTGTGGTACCAGGTGGATTCGAACCCCCGACTTTAAAAAGAAAGTACATGTATTGAGAGTGTAAAAGTCGACATTTTTATCAACTGAGCTAGTCTGACTATACATTTGTACTGCATAAATTGTAAACAGATTATCAAAATCAGGTCTCCTTATTTTTTTTTTTAGTTTTTTTTTTTTTGAATTTCGACCCTAGGGCAGGGGTGCCCCTAAAAAAATCCTATCTTAAATTATTCTTTACATCCCAACCTATCAAAATATCACAGTTGTATTTAGGGGCAGGTCTGTCCTGAAGGACTTCTAGGCCAAAATACATGCAAAAATTAACGCTTTAACGGACAAAACTGTGTTTTGGCCAACTTTGGAGGTTTATTGTAAAGTTGTAAATAATAAATATTAGGTATAAATTACAAATTTGAAAAATTTAGACATATATATGGTAGAAAACAACAAATGAAGATAAATTTTTAAATGTCACTTTTTCCGGGAAATTGTTATCTCCTATAGGTCAATTCTTTTGTCATAGTGAATACATCCTTTGCCAGTGATATTACAGGAAATGTTTACTCTTAACAGATAGTAAGGTTCATGGGTTCATGTGGTTTTGGAGACTTTAAAGAGGAAGTGTTATTTTTTGTAGTATATTTAAGGATATTAAATAATTACAGAATCACAAAGTTATGTAATTTCTTAAAAAATGAAGTTTTGCTTTAAAAGCATAATTTTTTGACATATGTAATTCAATCAATCATAATTGTACTTCTGTTAAACAATATAAGCATAACTTAATGAATATTCTATTCCCTTTTCCTTAATTCATACTTTTTCTTTTAATTCTCAGTCAACAGTTTATATTAACAGAGGTAAAAGTAATATCCATAAAATTAATTCACATACCCCCACAGAGAGAGAGAGAGAGAGAGAGAGAGAGAGAGAGAGAGAGAGAGAGAGAGAGAGAGAGAGAGAGAGATGGCATGAATACTAAGTACTAACACAACCCGTTGATGACACTTCAATATAGCGATTTATTAAACACTCTACATCCATCACGTGTTCACCGGAAGTCACTTCTTGATCTACAGCTCACTACACAGAAATTAAAAACTTTTTAATTCTCTTCCCCTTTGTGACTCTGTATTGACACTTTAATTATTTTAGCAGATTAGGAGGAAGGAAGTTTTATTGTCATAAAATTCTGAACCATTGTCTCCCATCGCAAACAGTTCGTGAGAACGAGAGTCAAGTCAGAACTCTGTGCTGCACATTGTGTTTATGTTTCATAGATATACACATGGCTGAATTCGTACTCCTGCACCTTTCTTTAATAGGAGTATTGTGCTCTGCACAAGGTAAGACTCAATTCTTTTTAGAATGTTGCTACGTGCTTGAGTCTGTATGAGTTTAAAAATCTGGGGCCAGTTTCACAAAGCTATCATAAGATTTATACTAAGACATGTCTTAAGATTGTCATAAGTTTTGACTTCAGATTATCATAAGATTTGTCATTGCGGTTTCACAAAATCATCACAACATGGGCTTATCTTAAGATATTCTTAGAAAGCAATTTTTATATATAATGAAGACAGTGTTTATACTTATTGATTTACCAGCTTCGTTTGAAAGGCATTATCATAACTATTAATTATGAAATATGTGTAACCACCGCTAAACATATTTTATGAATTGAATAAATAAAAAAAAAAACTTTTTAAAGAGGCCAATAAAAATTGATAACATTTAGGCTGAGTTCTGATATTTCATTAATATATAAAAATATCGATGATAAAATGAATGATCAGCAATGACGAGTAGATGTTAAAACTTATATAAATAATTCTTGCACCCATACCTTTTGTGTACGATTTAATTTGTTAAATTAGAATGTAGATCCACCACGCTACCGTAAAAACGAGTGTTCGATTGTATTCGCCGTGCTATAAAAACCAACCAACGAACATCTCGTGCACGTGCAACGTGGATCGGCTCTGGAATGGCATGAAACACAAAACGGTGTCCGAATTTCTCTGCTTCAGAAATATCTATTTTAACGGAAGAAGTTGAAAAAAGGAAACAATTGTTATTTTCCAAACAAAGTTCTGTAGTTTGTAATTCTATGAAAAGAAAGGCTTGGGAGGAGATTGCAGAAAAGACAAATGCTGTCAACTGTTCTAATTATGTGCGTTCCGGAGAGGAAATTAAAAAAAAGTGGACTTTTATGTCGAGCGAAAGTAAGAAGAAATTGTCCCTTAATAAAAGAGAACAGAGAAAAACCGGTGGAGGATCACTCCCATCTGGTGCCCAGATCACCCCCATGGACGAGAAGATTGAGGGCATCATTGGCCAAACATAGATTACAGGGGTGGAGGGTGAAATTGAATTGCTGGATAAATCAACAACATCAAACAGTGCAACGTAAACAAATACCGCATCTTTATTAGAAAATACCAATAATGGTAAGTCACAGAGAATTTGATTACTACGATATTTTCATTATACATGTTAAAGAATAATTGTACAATATTTACCCTATGCTTGCGGCTATCACCATTATACAACAAATTTCTGAAAAATAAACATTTATGTAGTACAATACATGTATTCATTATATTTCATTTTAGATAAATACTGCACAATTTATCTAAATACAGGATACATTGGCATCGGACGCTAATTTTAAGGGGAGGGGGGTAATTGAAAGAGGAAAAGAATTAAACCCTGAAAATTAAACATGGCACCCCCACCCCCACCCCAAAAAAGAGGGAAATTGTCCAAACTCCCAAATTCTACTATTTTTACTAGTTAACTTTTAAGGCGTTAATTTAATGTCAATCAAAATGTCGTATTAAAAGTTTTAGTATATTAACACGGAGAGAGAGAGAGAGAGAGAGAGAGAGAGAGAGTTTTATTTTTGCTTTGAATTTTATTTTCCCCGAAACTAACAGTCTTTTCATTTCATAGATGAACAAGCTGCTACGATAAAGTCAGTTCCAGCTAAACGGAAAAGACGCTACGACGCTGAATCTGAAGATTCTACAAGCAAACTGGTAAACATTGAGCAGGAAAGACTACTTGTAGAAAAGCAGCGTCTTCGTGTCGAAGAAGATCGACTGGGAGTCGAACGTAAACGCCTGGAAGTTGAAGAAGAACGCTTAAAATTACAAAAAGAAAAACACAACTTGTATTTATGTCAAATGGGTATTATTTCCAGTGTAGATGTCAGCGTGCAACCGGAATCTGAGAAGCATTAAAGTATTTATGCTCCCGTAATCGAAGATTCGGGAATATATAGTTTTTGTCCTGTCTGTCTGTCTGTCTGTTTGTCCAAAAAAACTTTAACCTTGTCCATGACTTCGACTGGAGGTGTAGCTTTCATATTTCACATGTGTATTCCTTGATCTACTGTTCGGTACCAGCTTGACCTTTGGACCGTCGAGTTTGAACCACTTTTGCAAAACAATTAGTCAACTTTAACCTTGGCCATAACTTTTAAACAGTTGGTGCTAGAGCTTTCATATTGCATATGTGTATTTATCACAACAAGGTCTTTCCAAAGATGTAAATTTTTTTCCCTTGACCTTAGAGCTAGATTTACTTTAAAAAATCTTAAACTTGTACTAAAATTGTCTCAGATATATATTTCTTGTGCCTTTTGGATACCAACAATGTTCACGTTTTTTCACCTGACCTTGGAGTTTGACGTACTTTAGAAAAACTAATCTTTGCAATAAGCAGGAGTTCGGGGACATCAGTGTTTCACAAGCATATCATGCTTTTTTTACGAATCACTTTTCTCACAACTTAAGAGTTTTTTTCCTTATTGATTGTTACACATGTAATAAACTAATGCATTTGGAGGTAATAAAACGATTTAAATATGTATTGTAGTTAAAATACTTTTACTTTTACCAAGTGAATATGAATATAACATAACATAAACAATTGCTATAACTTATTATTTGAATGAACAACACAATGTTTAAATGTATATAGAGTTGGGTGGTATTCCAGCAGTTTTGTCAGAATCGAGTTTGAATTAATCTTCTTCTAACTTCAGCACCGTCATTGTTTATTCCTTGGTAAACAACATTGTCTTGTTGTTGAATGAACCGATGCTGATTTCTGTTTCTGGGAACAGGAACATTGTTCTTTGTGCAAATGTTATGTAGCACAACACAGGCCGTCACAATCCGACATGCTCTCTCAGGTCGGAATAGAAGGGTCCCTCCGGAATGATCAACGCACCTGAATCTCATTTTCAAAACACCAATCGATCGCTCAACGGGGGCTCTGGTTTTTGCATGGGCTTCATTGTACGCCACTTGCTGAGGGTTACTTGGATTTAACATGGGTGTCAGTAAATATTTCCTTAAGGGGTAGGCACTGTCACCAACTAACCAACCTCTGGCAATATTACCAATATCGAACATTTGACACAGCACAGAATTGGACCACACAAATGCGTCATGTGATGAACCAGGCCATTTAGCTATCAAATTCAAAAATTGTAAATTGGAATCACATACTGCCACGACACTTAGTGAGTGAAAGTTCTTTCTATTCACAAACAAGTACTCATCAGTTGAAGGTGCTTTAAAAGGAATATGTGTCCCGTCTATTGCTCCTATTACATTTGGAAAATTACATATATGTGCAAAGCCGAGTATGGTATTGTTTATGTCTCTGTCAGTAAGGGGAAATCTAATGTAGGCATTACTTACAGCGACTAGAGCTGTCGAAACTGCGTTAACGATTCTGGATACACTTGCTTTACCAATACCATGAAGATCTGCGCAAACAGTTTGAAAACTCCCACTTGCATAAAAGCGAAGAGTTACCATAACTTGCAATGAAGTTGGTATGGCATGAGATCTGTTGGTTGGGTGTTCTATACGATCACTGAGTTCATTACAGAGATCAAAGATAACATGTCGTGGTAAACGAAACTTGTCTAAGATGTCACAATCGTCCATATAGTCTAGTGGGTTGTTTCTGTCCCTGAAAACACGCTCACGCCTGATGAACTGCCTATTTCTCATCAAAACATAGGCCGCCGCCATGTTTAGTATAGACTTAAGACAAGTATCTGGATGTCTTAAGATTTTGAACAATCTTATGATTATCATAAGATAAGACACTTTTGTGAAACAGCTATGATAAAAACTTATGACAAATTTTGGTCTTAAGACAGATTTCTGTCATAAGATAGCTTTGTGAAACTGGCCCCTGAAGGGCACGGACGCGAATGATTAATTTTACACGAACTTGTAAAATATTGAATAAGACAGTGAATTCAATGAAAGGAAAGCATAGTCATATAATAATCAACTTAACCTTAAATAAGGGAAACTGTACAAACTGATCAGAGGGTTCTTTAAGGTACATACATGTACATACCATTACGAAGGAGATTTCAATACAATATGATAATTCATTTTCATTCTATATATTTTGAAGAAAAAAATTAACAAATTTTGTATTCTTTCTGATAAAGCATATAATCTAAGTTTTGAAACCATGAAACCAAGATTGTTGATGACATCTTTGGAAAGAACATTGAAAAACAATGGTACAAAATGCTTTAAGTGCGACAAACATGTTGGGGAAAACTAAGTATCAGTTACAACACATTCTTGAGATATATTATTTAAATTAAAATCCCCACTATTTGCTAAAATTTACCAATATTGAAATTTTTTGTCTTTTATTCATAAGCACACAAACACTTATGATTCATAAACTAAAATACATATGTCTTACTTAAGTTATATTTGACTTCGACACTGTTTAGAGAAAATCTTAGACATATTCTTTTTAATGAATGTTCGATTTTTCTCCTGCATGTGTATTTGAGTTAATCAAAAGCCTCTGTAATACGTTTTCTTTCCAAAAATGAACTCTTCAGAATTAAGGAGGATATTGACTGAGACAGCATGAAGTTGCGGATGGTACAAAACATATAAATCACGTGCACAATCCAATGTTAAAAGCTAAATGTATTTGACATCCCATTGTAGAATTGATACTTTGACCTAATAGACATAAATAATTTAATTTCACTTGCATCAAGCAATTTCATTGGCTGATTCATTCAGAGGAACATATAATATTTTGTATAACATAACTTGCCTACGTCACAATGAGTTACGTAAAAAACGTATTACTCCGCTTGACGTTACTTTTAAATTAATGCGCAATTTGAAGCCTTATTCTGGAGGAAAAATTGTCTTATTGTCTATACTGAAGTTAAATTATACGGAATGAAGCTAATTTCAACTTATGTTATACGATATAACAAAACTTGGGGCAGTTTACGCCTTTTTATAAACCGCTTCGCGTTATATCGTTTAACATAAGTTGAAATTAGCTTCATTCTTTAAATAATTGTAAGAGAGCGAAAACCTAAAATTTATCATCCAAAATAATCTCTTTATCCCTTAAGGTAAATTCTTCTCTGGTTTCTGACTAGACGGGTGAAACACAATATAGGGGACAGTAAGGTTGCACTTAGGGGTAAAAAATTAATGTCTTCGTTTTGCCCCAAAAACATTTTTTCTAAAAAGTAGAGTATCTAAAGGATCTCAAGCATAAACGGTTTTGTGAAATTCACATTAGAACTTTGTTTTTTACAACCTGATAATAACCTCATTTTCACAGGTTACGGACACTACAAGTGCTGTTTTCTTTGAAATAAATATAAAAAACTGTTTATAAGCTCTAATTTTTTCAACTGCTTACAAACAAAGAACATATATAAATACAAAATAAGGACACAATTTTGACTAAAAAAGGTGGCATTGTACTTTAAAATTTAAACAGTTCTTACTTCGTACATTTTTGGTCAAAATGGTAGTATTTCATTTCATGTGAACTCTTTAAAACCAATATAAATAAAGAAAAAAAACTATTTATAAATAACACTTTTTATGCGTTTGGTGAGATATAAATACTTCCATTAAAATAGGACATTTCATTTTTATAAATTTTCTACAATTATTTGATTGCTTCATTAAGTTACGGACACTACAAAACCCAAATATTTATGATTGGGATTTGGTTTCTGGTAAAAAGAACATTTTATAAACTTCTAAACTATTATAAATTAAAGAGGTAGGTTCACTAACTCCATAAAATGGCCCTGTCAATATACCAATTAACTGACCAGATCCTAACGTCCCATTTCAAACATCAACATAAAGAAGAGACTTAGTGCTTTCATTTCCTGTAAAAAAATTTCCTCCAGGTTTCCAAGTTTGGAAACTCAGGCGTTGTGAAACTGCAATGTTCTTGATTTTTGAAGAAAATGGGTGAAATTGAGCATCTTCAACTGTCCATAAAAATATGAGCCCACCCCGCGATCCAAAAAAAATTCATGGATTATAATCTTCTGAAACAGTTCTTTCATATATAATATATAATTGAACATTTTAGATCAGAGGATGGGGGCTATGCAAAATATTCACATACAGCTTAAATTTTTGGTCACTTTTAAAGAAATTTTCAAAATTTGAGGAAAATGACGAAATTCATCACGTCATAATACATGGACAAGAGAAAAAATTACGTCATTTTTATTTGATATGAAGTCACCAAGGGGCCAAGTGAAATTCAACATATTTTAAACCAAAACTGAGCAGTTCTGATTTTTTAGAAATTCACAGGGCCAAAAGTTGCACAAGGTGACCTTTGTTCTTTAAATGATTATTAAATACAAAGTATATACAAATTAGATATTGTTTCAAGTAAAAACAATTTACTTGCAGAACTAATGCCAATAGAAAAAAATCCACTTTAGGAAATCCTGAAACTTCCTTCTTTCACATAACTACATGCATTTATTACCGAAGTGCAAAAGAAAAGTTTTATTATTCATTAAAGTTTTATGAAAACTATTTAGAATGTAGGTACAATGATCAATGAGGTCAATTAACCAATTTTAAGGGTTACGGACACTACACAATACTTTAATTGTTCACAGGTTTGTGGATAAAGTTTTTGTTTTAAGCCCTTTTCCTATCTTTTTTCAGCATTTCATTTCTCGTTTCAGTTTCTCCTGATTTTTTTTTATTCTTCAGATCTCAACTTCATCTGTTACAAGCATACCATAACCAATATACTTCGAATAAATATATACACATGTAACTTTAGACAGGTGTTATGTGTAAGTAGAAAAGTCAAACCTTGAAGAATAAAGCTCACTAATATTTCTTCAATTATTTTTTCTTTTCTGTGAAGCATTCTATTTTTCTTCAAACAGTTAAATATACAATACTTTATATGAAATTGGTATAATTTTAGTTGTTTTCTTTTTTGAAATTGTTTGTAGTGTCCGTAACCAAATTACTTCCCAACTGTTAAACATTTTGAATGCGAATTTACTTGCATTTAACACATTTTAAGATTTTACCTAATAAGCAACTAAACAATTGAAGCAATATTCACAAGAAATATGGGTTATGTAGCTAGTG